TGACTGACTTATCTTTAAGCGGATTCCCAATGGTTCTAGTAGCATGCCAGCACCAGTAGAGTCAGTCATATTTATGTGAACGCTTGAGAGAAGTAGCACAATATCAACCACTGACCACTAACGGAATGTTTAAATAATGCAGCGCTTTCCTCGAGACCTGAAGTTCCTGACTTCGATGCTCCACAAACTCACATATGCGCATCCATGAGGAGTTTTGATTGGTTGCCCCATGCTTTTCAATTGTTCCGTGAGTGACCCGACTGTCTGATGAAGACTATCCTGGTATCATTTTGGTTAGTTATATCACCTGAAAAACGGAAAATATGAGTGGGTCTCAGATAAGTGTCATTGTTAGTACTATTTTATTTATTTTAGAATTCATTCTATTTACGACCTAATTAGTAAGATTATTACATAGCTCCGATCAAGAGCTACTGAGAGACCCCTTACACTTTCTGTTTGACCTATGTGTCGTAAATAACTTCATCTTTAGTGAAATTCATTGTTATGCCTTATCTCATATTTTGTGCTTGAAATGGTTGTTTCATTTCTTTAAATTGTGATACGTTGTAGCCAAGTAATTTCACTATAGGTACATAGAAATGAGATCACTAAAATATATGGGCAATAAGCAGCAGACTTTGTGTTCTGTTGCATGCGGATGAGGCGGCCAAGTTGCGTGACTGATAGTGTCAGTCGGATGAGTATTTGAGACTGGGCAAAAACATTTAAGGTTGATCATGTTCAAGGTCCATGGAAAGATTGAATAAGTCGAATCATATGTTTGAGTCAATTGTAACCAGACGAAATTGTAGCAATTTGACGATAGAGTTAACATAGGAATATAATATACCTCAGTGGAACAACTAAAAAACGTAATGTCTGTAACTTCTAATTCTTTCCTTTTGCTTTTTCCAGAGTATGAGAATTTTCCGGAGGACTGGTATGGATATGAATTTATTGATATACCTTGTTTGGTTGGTACTGTCTGCATCAACAAAGTTTTTGTTACCAATCTCCTCTTCTTTCCACCCAGCTGTCATCTTATTCGAACTGACTGGCTGACTGTGTACGGTCACAGGCATGACTATGGTTGAGCCTTTCCAACAGTGGTTATTTTTCTATGGTTTTCCATCTTTCCTTGAATAAGGTTTTGTGCTCCAGTAGCTGTATTGACCATATATTCCCGAGATTACAATCACCAAAAGAGATTTGTTACATCAAAACTATTTTCTTAATAGGCTCTGTAGAACCTTTCCTTTCCTAATGAATTCGTAGATTTAAATGCTCTGCTAACTGGAGCTTTGTTGAGAGATCTACTTACGATTTCTAAAGTCCACAACTAGTATTGCAACACTCGGGAGGCATTGAATTTAATCTAGATGTGTAGCCAATTTTGATCATGTTATTAGCACATCTACGTCACCAATAATTGCTTTAACTTCCCTACGATTCCTACAAAATTGTGAACAACTGCTAAACTATCAGGTTTCTTTAAGTTTTTCAACCTCAAGTTGTAGATTATAAGATAATGCCCCAGTGCTAGTCTGCTACCACTCCCGGTTCAATGGTAGGGAGTGAAGTGGCGGGATGTGTCGACCAATTCACTTACTTGGGGAGCTGCGTCAGCTCGATTGGGCTGGTTACTGATAAAATTTCGACTCAAATATAGTACGTCCTTTTGGCATTTGTCAACTTATCTCATCGGTGAGGCCAACTGGTGAGATATCCCAATAACTGCATTGAATGGTCACAGGAGTGCAACCAATTTCATGTTATCTAGTCCTTAGTGCAGACCGAATTCTATCGATCATATTTGTAATGTGGCAACCAAGCTAGGAAGCTCAGTATCGCGGTGCACATTAGTAGATGTTAGTTGGTTGGAGGCAATCGGCAATCAGCGATGCTGAGCTTCCTAGCTTGGTTGCCACATTGCAAATATGATAGATAGAATTCGATCTGCACTCAGGACTAGACAAGATGAAATTGGTTGCACTCGGATGATCAATCAATACATGTAAACCAGTCCTACAGGAGGTCAGTCGTGGCCCGAGTAGCCCATTGGTAAAGTTACTGACTACAACAATGGGTGACGCGGGTTCGAATCTCAGACGAGACATCAGTTCCGTCGGGGTTGCAGATACGCCTTGCTGACGAGTGCCAAAAAACACGAAACCTAGGTCTAGGGCTTCCTGCCGATTGCCTTTAAGGAACTAATGTCCGACTGTCTATCAAAGTACGAGTATACTGCGCTACAGTCGGTTCTTTTCTGTTGTGCACCTGTTAGACATGGCAATTAAAAGTAAAAGGCACGAAGGGATTAATGGGTTTCGATCATAAATATCTTCGTAGCATTTGGTGGAATCACCGTGTGAGCAATGTTGAAGATAGGTGAAGAGTAATAGGCGAGATAGACAAATTGGTGTATGAGGTTGTAAACCTCAGTCAACTGTGATGAATTTAATACGCACCGCACATCCCAAGCCACCGCCTACCTCGACATGCCATACTAGGGGAAGTTGGACTAGTTCGGAACAGGGTTCGGAGAAGCCAAACCAAGACCTGGCACCAGTCGATGAAGTCACTTGCTGTTGCTTTGAGCCGTGCGCACAGAAATAGACTACCTGGTTAGTATCCGTGAGACCATAGGAATCAGTTGTTAAGGGATCTTTGTGACATGACTGGAAATTCATTACAGTGGCGCAGGTATATTCACTCCTAGACGTCTTCCAAAACTTGAATAGTCATACTTACTTTTTCCTTCATATTGTTTATTCTCTCACAGTATCTTACTTACTATGATATGACTTTTTTTATCCACCTGCCTTTGTATACTACTGTGAATTGCGGCAAGCTGAGCCGATGCACCTGTGGGAGAGGATCTACGTTGATTTTGCCAGTCAGTCAATGTAGATTCTTTGCATTACTCAATAGTTTCTCCATTATATTGCGTCAACACTCCAACTAACCCGTTTCATCAACTGAAATGGGCTGTAGGAATAACTCAACATCCATATTGGTTATTTGAAAAATTTCTATCACATTGAAACATTGGATACAAGAGAATAGGGACCGTGAAACGGCATACAGAGTTGTTTGACTGGTCTAATATAATGATGGATAATAATATGTGACCGAAATTTTATCCAATCAATAATACTGTTCCAGTTTGTGGAACACATAACATAATTAGAAGTTTGACTATGTGAGATAGCCATGGTTTGGCAGACTAGTACTGATACTAGGTGATGACCGAAAGTGAAGGAGAAATGTGAACTGCAGAAGGATTCGAACCAACTACCCCGGGTTACCGATCTAGTGCTTCACCAACTGCACTATGAGACAATACACTGATTTCAGGGATTCATAGTGAAATTTGCCAAAGCGATAGCTATACGCAAATTGATGCCGTTTTTGTGTCCATAAAAACAGTTTGTTCTTACACTACACCTACCTTGATAAGCTATGTATTATTGGCATATAGGCCACTATCCAGATGCCTTCGTACTGCCCGATTACTCATTATGTTTTAGTCTGCTTGGCAGTTAGCACTGGGACCCAGAAAGTGTGTTTCAGTCTATTTAGGACTCGTTAGCTGAAGGTAGCCGAACACTAGTGGGGGATGTTATTCCCAATGGGACTCAAACTCAGTACTTATAGCCTCAGACTCTCTCGTGCTCCGAAGGGCTCAGCGGATAACGCTTCGGCATGTAAAGTGATGGATGCTGGGTTCCAGTCTCGGTAAAAACGAAACCAGTCACTGGAGTACAGGCACATTCATCTGACTAACCCGAAATAGGATGAAACATGCGTCCTAGATTCCAATGCTAGCCACCGTGCAGACTACGACACATAAGTCTTCCCTTTTTTCTCATCTTTCTTAATCTTAAGCCCCTTTTATCTTAATTGTTCCACTTGTCCTTCCATTCATTCTTCGGTTGTAGATAAATCGACTCGATAAGTAAATATGATCAGATTGTTCAAAATGTATTGCTCAAATACTTCACACTGATCAGATAAACGTCATTTTCTCATGACTCGTGGTTTATAAGAGTGACAAGCACTAACTACTACTTCACAGCAGTATGTCTCCTACAATGATTGATTGTCCTCTTGAAAATTGTGTGAATACTCTATGAAGCTGAATGATGTTACATACATACTTGACAGGAAGAATGCTGCTCAGCTGACTTGTTAACGGTTGCCAATGCTAATGAGACGTCCAAGTAGCATCTGAGTATTAATCCCTTAAATACCTTGGTCTTATCGAGCATTTTATCTTCAAAAGACATCAACTCCTCAAAGTTTAAATCAACTGATTGTAAGCGGCTGGTTTACCTATGAACAGTACTCAAATATACTCCACTAACTATAGATTGTGTTGAACATACATGACGGAGGATTATGATTGGTCGAAACAGCATTAGCGAATCATAATGCATTCTTTGAAATATGTATCACACATCTTATTTGCTATTAACGTGATTTTTTTACAAATGGAAGAAATTATTATACAAAATAATTCTTTTTTTTTCTTTCATGATGTAACCAGTTGGACGTGAATGATCTCATCAAAGTCAGATGCTTTAATTTTAAATTCTTACTCTTCATCGCGTAAACATTAATAATACAAAAAAATGTATATAAACACGTCAACAACATATAGTATGTATATATGAGTTCAAGCAGATGACAAGACAATATTTCACATTTATACTATGGCATATTTAGATGGGTGCACACTCATACATGCACACAATTATCTGATTATCTTTCAGCCTAGATGTATGCAAATAATAACTGAAGTAGAGTATCATCTTATAAATTGACAGTTTTGTTGTCACACCTGTCTTAAAGGAAGGTGTACACGCTTGTATAGGCATCAAGTGGAAATCGATAAAGCTTGAACTTATTTGTTGGCAAAAACAAATTGATAGAAAAAAGTGCTTACTCAGTTGTGTGTGATTCAGTTAGTTGTATTGTTTTTTTTAAAAGAAGTAATGGAATTTAATAGAAAATCAATTCGACAAATTGGTTATTATACACCGACCTATTCAAATTCACCAAATGTGAAACGACACAAAGACAAAACGTTTGTTAGTTATCATCAGTCGGAATTATATGGTTTAAATTTATCCCAGTTGAATATTGCGCAGGATTTAAAAAGTTGTAGTTATAGCAACAGCTCTAAAACTACCAGTATGGATATGGAACAGAAGCTTAAATGGAATGACGCTCAGAATAATCACATAAGGATTATTCATACACTTGATGGGAAGAAGCAGATCATCTGTGACACACCAAGTCGAACTCGTCAGTATTGGCTGGATCGTCGTAAGCTAGCTAGCCCTAATCATATCAATGAAAACAATATAGTTAATTATAACAAACAGCAGTTGTATAAAACAACCTATGCATCAAGAAGCAAAACTTCAGCTTCCAGTGACCAATTTCAGCTGGCCGGTACAACAACAATAATCACTCCAAAATATCAAATGTGTAGTAGAGAGAGAGAAAATAAATCAGAGAATTGGAATATTGAAGAAGCGTACGCTGATAAAAAAAAAGATATGCAATTATTTGAATTGACTGAAAATGAATTTATTTTATCGGAATTAGATCCACGTTTAAATTTGAATTCTGTTATAAATGATAGTGGAATAACAGTGATTGATAGTAAAAAATATTTAAATTATGATAACCTTGTTGAAAAGGAAGATGGCATACCTGTTTATCAGCCGATTGAGGAGACATACAAGGTTAGCTATTTCTCATCCATCTTTTTGCTTTTATATATATATATATATATATATATATATATATATATATATATATATATATATATATATACTTGTCTGCCTGGTCGAAGTCGCCTTAAGCACATGACTGCCGATTCAGTCTAAACGCTGACCTTGCACGTGATTGGCTTCAAATATACTTGCCCAGTTTGATACACTCAATCCGCCCACACGAACAGTCACACAGCTCGGCCCTTCCAACAGAACACAGAATCTGATACTTATTGTTTGCATATATTTTAGATGTTCGGTTCGATTTGTAAGCACAACTAAAATACTTGACCACAACACAGCACAATTTATAGAAATGAAACAACTAATTTCAAGTAATTAATGTGAGATGTTGCACAATAATGGATTTCACTCACTTAACATACAATTATTTTCGAACTATACGTCATACATCAGTGAATGAGATGTCAATCGATAGTTCTTGAACAGAGCTATATAATTATGTTATGTCATAAGAAGATTGACTCATAAAATCGATAAAATAATACTATCAATATCACTTATCTGAGACTCACGTTTTTCACTTTTTGGCTGATATGTACATATATTGATTAAAAACTAAGTAAATGAATCGGGACAGTCCATAACTAACATGTTGAGTTAAAAATTGACGGTAGGAGATAAGATATTATCTGTAGATATTATCTCTATATCTCCTGGGAATACAAATCTTTGTCAGTAATTTTGAACTAACGGAAAATGATTATACTTTACCAAGTGTAAACTGCAGCCCAAACGCCAAGTTAATTTATAGTGCGTGTGGTAATAGTTACTGTGCAACATTTACACACCAGCTTGTTTTTGACTCCCAAAGCTATCTATGAATTTCGATTGTGCATTCGTAGTTTTAAAATAAACTTTAGAAAAATATGTGAAATGATGCTACCCTTTACCTGTTACCGGTGTGAAAACAGATGGCGATTCAATGAAGTGACTTGCAGAAGAACTGGTTGACTGATATCCTTTGGAGAACCACTGAAAACACGGGAACACTAAACAGCTGTTTCGTCCTAGTATGGAACTCCTCAGTATTATTCACTCACGACCCTCCTAGGGATCTCCAACTGATGTTAGTATGCAGTGAATGCTACCTTAAACAAAAAAATCCCCATTAGCTTCAGAACTGATTTTTATGTGTGTTTGCTAACCAAATGACATTGCCATTAGAAACCAAAAGGTGTTGACGTGTGTATGAAGCCAAAACTGTAGCTTTCAAGACTACATGTTGTATACGTTTCCAAGGGGTCGTCATACGATCTCTCACTGTCAGTGTTTAAACAGCTGATATCCTTTTAATTTCAAACCAGTCACCTCCTTTCTCACTACACAAATAACTAATAATCTGTTGATCGATCAGTAGTGATTTATTCTTTGATTGATTTCTCGAGGTCACAATGAGAAAACAGTAGATGATAAGCTCAACTCAGATACAGAAGAGACTTCATACTCTTCGGTTCAACCGAATGATTCTTGAATTATATTGTCTACTGATTGAAGTCAGGATGCGTAGACTTTTAAATTCCAAAAGAGTAAATCAATATTGGTGTACTTAACACTGGCAGATTCCTTCAGGGATGCCCGCTGTTACTGTCCTGTTTAATTTTACAGTAGGTGCACTAATGGGCATAACCTTCAATCCGATTAATCTACCCTCTAGAGGTCATCTGGTTGACTTGGAGTGCGCAGACGAGATTTTCCTGCTAGGTGATGTTGACAAAATGCTGGGTCTTCTGAACAACCTGGGCAGAAATTTGAGTATGTTTGGCATGCGATTCGCATCTGTCAGATACATGATAGCTTTTCAAGACTTTCCTGCAACAACTCCTAGTTTAAAAATATGCAGCGAAGTGTTAAAATGCGCCAGTCACTTACTACAGTTACTTGGAGGTGTTGTATCAGCTCGAACAGGCTAGTGGCTGATGAAATCTCAGCCTGGATATAAAAGGCCTGTGTAGCGTTTGCCAACCTACCTTGTCACTGGCAGTCACTGATAAGATATTCGATATTAAAGGGCGAGTACACTGTGCTGCAGTCCGTTCTGTTCTTTTTTACAGCTATCAGACGTGACGTGAAAAGCAGAGTACATGAAAGGATTTCTGGTTCTGGACCATAGGTGTCTTCGTAGCACTACTCGCATTTGGTGAAATCATCATGTGAGAGATGTCCAGGTGAGATAAAAGGCACTATGTAAGGAACGCGAGCCAGCCGATGAAGTTGTGAATGTTCACTGATTGATGTGGCTCGAACATGTATTATGCAGATTGAGTCACAGACTAAGTCTACTTGCCAAGCCACGTGAAGTTGGATTAGGTTGGGAGAGGGTTCAGAATAGCACTATTCAATGAAGTCCCTAACTGATAGTCTGAGACAAGTGGGCAGACATACACTACCTGGTTAGAACTCAGAGGTTGAGGACTGTATGTGGAATGGTTGAAAAGGGGTCAAAATGGTGCAGATGTATTCACTGTTTGACGCCTTCTAAAGGTTACATGTTTTAACTAACCTTAATACCCTCCCATACACCTTTGTCTACTTTGATATCAATATTCTCCCATCCACCTGTTCTCTGGATTCTACTGTGAAGTGTGGCAACTCCAGCTGAAGCACTTTTGCGCGAGGTGATTCTACAGTAATTCTGTCTATCTGGTGTTCTTAACATAAAGCTTAGGGAGTTTCTTCTTTATCCAATGAAGAAAACAAGATTCTAATAAAAGAATCTGCTCTGTCTGTAAATTTTCACTGATTCTTTGGTTGATATCACTGTCCAATGGAATTCCATTTTAATACTAACCGACTTATTCCTAACTAAATGGTTGGTTGATTAACTAAGAAGAATAGTTAGTGGCGCTCATTAGTGATATGCTACCAGATGGATATATCAAAGTTATAATGAGAAGCCGTGATCTGTGTGGTCAACCAGTTGGAAGGGAAGCGGATGCCAACTGAAGATCTCGGGTGATAGCTGCACTATATCGTGAATTGACAGAAGTTGGAAACTGTAAACCACTGAACTCCAACCTAGTAACTGAACGGTTAATGCATTCGCCTTGAAACCTGAAGGTCCTTAGTTGGATCCCTAACCGAGTTGTGGGTGCATACTTCTGAGGAGTCCAATACTAGGATGAAGCAGCTGTCCAGTGCTCCCAGACTTTTAATAGTTCTCCAACTGATGTCAGTTCGTAATGAATACTATCTTAATATTAAATTTATGTTCACTCTTAAAAACTGTTGTACAGTGAATACATTCACAAAATGTACTCATTCATCATAGATGGTTTTCTTACTCATAAAAGGCGTCAACCTTTCTTACCACTCATAGAAATCATGTAGATCTAAGTTTCTTACGCCAGCGAGATGAAATCTTAACTATAAAATGTAACTGTTAGCTTGCTTTTAATTTCAAATTGACAGCTAAAAATTGAACACATAAATTATTATTTATTGACTTCCCATTTAAAATTGAAATTTGATTCGTTTCTTCCTCTGATTTATAATAATCATACTACATAAGGTCTTCAAGCTAAGAGCAACCATCCTGTGACATGAAACTGTTAAAGGTTTACTATTTCTGAGGTTGATGATGAGATAAAGAGGATTGGTTCGGGAACGGATAGCCTTTTAAGCATTCAGTATACTTCAAAGATATTCTTTAACAATGTGGATGATACATTGACAGCACTGAAATCGGAGAATATCAGTTAAGATCTTGATGCATGTAAATCCAATAGTGAACGAAATCTCACGTATCTATGACTTTTGAAGGTGATAACCGGGGAGTTAGCTATGTTGAATTCCAAGAAAGGAAAATGGGACTTTAGAGACTATTATCCATAGGAAACCTCCTTATTCTAACTGACGCCTAAATTTCAAAATAATCATCACACTCTATCTCAGTTAACATTGGCTTGATTAAATATCTAAGCAATAGCACAATTAAAAGCTTACTGGTAGGACAATAAATTTGTGACGAGAAACAGGACATATCAAGAATAGCTTGCGTCTGAACAATCACCCACCAAAATATGAGCTGTAGTACCAGTACAGGTATCAATAATAATTCTACCAATAGAAGTAACTATAGTAGTAATAATTGTGACATAGTCGAAACAGAACTGAAAGCTTCCATTGTTTTATCAACAACGGTAAGCTCGGTGACGCTTCTTAAGTGAAGGCAGGAGTAAGACAAGGTTGACGCCTGCTATCACTGATCATCTTCCTGATTGTGATGGATTGGACTGGATCATGCGACAAGCTGTGATGAGGGAGAAGATTGGCATGCGCTGTTTGATCCATGAAAATACCCTAGAAGATTTGGATTGCACCGATGATGATTTTCGTCTAATGTCGTTGCACAAACTCGAAGATGTATAGGAAAAAACTAACAAGTTAACGGAAGAGGCGAGGAAGGGCAGGGCAGCGGACACGGGACTTCAAGCGAATGTGGAGAAGACAGACTCTGGAACCAAAGCGAATCAACTGTTTGGTACTTCACGGACTTTATACTTGCTAACTAATTCACGATTGAATCAAAACGTAAATGAGTTCAGATTTTGGTCCATAAGACATTGAAATGCCTGATGGACACTAAGGAATATTTTGTTAAGAAATTAAGTAAATAACAAACAAGAGAAATGGATCACAGCAGTCTACAATTCAACATCATGCTGTGATGAATATATCATTCAATGTACACCAAAAAGGAGTCTACGTTCATGGACACACTCTCACTCATGCGCACATACAAACATTTACTAGGTGGATGTGTAGGGTCCTATTCTCTTCCATTTCTCGTCACAGTAGATCATTGACTATGGAGAGAACTGATTTTAATTCATTATACTATCACATAACTTGTCTCTTATTCAACATCAACTAAACTTGGTAATTTGGTTGGTTGTGGCTAGCAAAGGAACCCAGGATGCGCCTTCCGTCCTATTTGGGATTTTTCA